TTCCCCTCTTCACGATGCTTGTATCCTCATGCCTCGAGCACGTCCTTCCCTTCTGGGTGACCCTTGTCTGCGTGACATCCTCAGGGATGACTACGCCTTCCCCTTCTTTGGCTCTGGTCGAGCCAACTCCTCCAACTTAGTGAACTCTGCCTCCGTCTCCTCGAGGTTGATGTATTTTTTGTACCTCTTCAGTACCTCATCATAAGTACGAGCCGGGGTTTTAGCCAGAGAAGTTCGACATGGTCTTGCTCGTAAACTCATGATCAGTTTCTAGCCTTGACCTCGTCCGCAGCAGTGGGGATGTCCAGGCAGGTTTGATTGTATCGAGCTACATATTTTCGCAACAACTACTTCTCCCCCTCTCTCATCGCCATCAGGGTCAAGTACGTATTCTCCTGGACCACCGTACTCGAGTATTGATTTGTCAACTTCTCCACAAAATCCTCGAAATTTGTGATCGACACTGGAGGGAGCTGTTGAAACCAATCGAGAGCGCCTCACCTCAAGGTCGATAAGAATGCCCTGCAGCTAAAGGATTAGTATATCCATGTAACACAACCATATTTTCAAATATCCTCACATTCCTCGACGGGTCAGAGGTCCCGTCGAACACCAAACTTGGGTCCCTGAAATTAGCCGGCAAAGGTGCGACCAATATATCCCCAAAAAGGGGTGTCCTTGAGAGTGTCTCTCCGTTCGACCATCCATCTTGGCCTGCAGTTGACGCAGCTGTTCTGCAATCCTCTCCATCTCGCGATCATTCGGTCCTCTTTCTCCTCCATAACTGGACACATCCTCGGCGTTATGGTGAGTCCCCGCCACTGTGGTTGGCGCAGTTGCTGCTCAATAAAGGCTGTTCGTGACCTGCTGCACCGTCTGTGCAACCGAATCTGACACCATCTACTGCATCTCATGTCTAGTCATCACTACCTATTGACCAGGACTCTGCTCCTCCACTGGGGGTGGTGCCGCTCCCTGCACCACGGCTCCTATCGGCTGCATTCTGATCGGATCTGGCTGCACCGGTGGTGGAACCGCCGCCACCATCGTCGCATAGGCCTCCTGAGCACGTCCCAAACCTCTTTCTCCTCCTGGGACCACCGGTGGGACCCCTAGGCCTGGTGGAGAAGGCGTTGGGGTCACCGGCGTCTGCGCAGGTCCAGAAAAGCCCGACAGGGGGCCCTCTCTGTACAGCCTCATCGTCGTCCAAGCTTCATCAAATGAAGGCTGCAAATTGATTCTGGGAATTCCGTTTGCCATAGCTACCAAGCTCGCACAACCTCAGCACACCACTTTTCGAACGAAAGTCCCACAGACGGCGCCAAATGGTAACGTAAAAGCTCTCGACCGGCTGGAACTCGATGGATCGCCTTCCTTCTCGTCGGTTGAATGTCACTCACCTACAAAGAACTCTTGCACCGGAGGGGTTTTCTGGTGAAGAGCCTCCAAAGTTGAAGTCACTGTATATTCAATCAACTCTCAAAGGTAAAATGTAGTGATCGTGTCTAACAAGAAAGACTCACCTCCTATTTATAAGAGTGAGGTATCCTAAGGGCTGCCCGGATTTAGTGACCTGTTGATACGTGAGAAATCTTGTATTATTTAGTGATTTAATTTGCATATTTGAATATTTGATTTTAGTGTATTATTCAAGTTTTCTCACGTATTTTATTTTTTGAACAGACATACACCAATATTTGATTTTATGTCTATTTTGCAATTATTAAGCTTATTTGTGATATAGGGTTGATGCGATGGCAATTGAATTTATTTCCCTTGAGAATTGGGAAAGTTGGCCGATAATTTGAAGAAAGTAGGATTTTAATTCCTTATTAGGGGATTTTGACATGGGAATTAATTGGTGAGGAGTTTCAATCAAGTTGGATTCTTTCCTTGGGCAAGTGCATTACGTGGCAACAAAAAGAAGGAAAGAAGAATTCTAATAAAATTGGACTCTCAATTTTGGAGGGCCTGCGTGAAAAGAGAGGAAGGAAAAAAAGAATTAAGGAGGATCCACCTTATTTTTTATCAAGCTTGTACGTAGTGGCATTAGAGGAAGACCATATGTTGCTGCTTTAAATCCATTTTTGAGCTGTGGACTGAGAACTATTTAGGGAGTTTGTTTTATTTATTTGTTTTTCTTTATTTTGAAGAACATGGATTATTGTTTTTGTTTTTATCATTTAGCTATGAGTAGCTAAACACTATTTCGGTTCTAGGGACGTTGAACCCTCGGTGACTATGTGTAATATCCCGATATTTTGTCAGTATAAATTATGTTTTAGTTCCGATATAATAATGTTATCGATTATTATTTTCGGAATTAATTATTTTCAGTCGAGATTACCGAAAATTATTTTCGACGTACCGTTTACGTTCGGAATAATTTTGGTAATTAAGCATTATGTTTAATTAAATAATTAAACATAAGAAAAGGGATTAATTAGCATTTAATCCTTAAATTAAACCCTAAAACCGTGCCTAATTTTCCATATGGCAGCAAAGGCCGTGTACAATTCTTTAAGGAGTTGGAAACATTTTCCCTTCATTCTTAAGTAGCATACGTGGCCTTAGTAGGAGTTAAAGGAGAGAGTTAGTCATCCTAAACCTATCCTAATGAGAAGCAAGTGTCAAAGTTAAGGAGGGCCACGTCTAGTATGCATCATCACCCCAACTATGTACCTCCATTCGGTCCTCGATATATAAGGAAGAGTTTGGGGAGATTTGTCCCAATTTTCAGCCCTATGTTCGTAACTTCAGCCCTTAAAATCAGTACCAAGTAACTTAGCCTATTATCCTAAGCCTTCTATAGCACCAACGCACGGCAAGTTAGAGCATAATACGCACGCACGCACAAGGTCACGTTCGCGGAGCTAAGGAAATCACGCTTACCTTGCGTCTTTAGCCGAACGTTTGAAGAGGTAACTTCCTCCTCATCTTATAATCTTGTTAGTAAGGCCATAATAAGGTTAAGAGTTTGATTTAAATTCAGAAATTCTGAGAAAATTCATGTTGTATTCGGTTAGGTCATATTTAAGACAAATACCGAGTTATTTCCATTTTACTCCGGCAAGTCCCGAGTGTTTATTGTTTCGTCAGCCATCATTTAGTGTATCATGTTCAGTCAGGTGGGAATTGGTGAGTAAAGTAGAAGTTCGGGCGAGAATTTGGCCTAAAGCCAAGGACCGCACGTGGTGTGCGCGTCACGGCCGCACCGTGTTATCTTTCATTATTGTCAAGTTTGTTCGATCAATTAATGTTTAAATGATCAAGTTAGGTCATTTTATGTTCAGTTGGCTCATGTTGTTCGAGAAGTTTGCATGTTTAACCGAGGAATTGGCCATAAGCCGTAAGCTTCGCACATAGCGAGTGCACCACGGCCATGTATTTGGTCCATTGAACTAAGTTCAGTATTTTCATGAAAAATCAGTATATTGATCATATTAAGTCAGGTGATGTTTTTTTATGTTAAAGTTGTCGGAAAGAAACGCCGGACGGCCGACAAGTGTTGGTTGTATATGCGCTGCCCGCATATCGCGGTAGCAGCGTACCGGCAGGTGTGCGTGGTGCAGGTACTGCGCGGTAGAGCGCCACGTAAGGCTGTTACCCGCAGCAGATAGCCGTTGGCGATGCGCGTGCGCACGCCAACACCTCGTCATGCATGTCAGCGTGCAGTAACGCACGACAGCGCGCAGCAACGCGCGTTCAGTGGTCGCACGCAGTGTCGCCTAGTGCAGGCCTGCGACTCGGTAACGCCCAGCGACACCGCAGCAACGCGCCAGCGTGCGCCAGCACGCGTAACTGTGCGCAGTGCCGCGGGCAGTCCACCAGTTAGCCCCAGCGGGACGCCGTTCATGCCCAGCACGCCCAGTCGC